GCAGAGTTTAGTTTACATGTTATAAATATACAGAAACTAAAGTTTTTCAACAGTTTATGGAGATGGTAATTCCACTTTAATACGACCTTGCTTTCTTTATGAAAAAATGGATTAATTAAATATATACAATTTATAAAGAAAGCTAAACAAAGGAGAGCTTCAATGAAGCATTTTCTATAAAGGCATTCAAACAAAATGGTTTCCATATAAAACTGTATACATATAATATAATATAATAATTCTTTTATATTAAGTTTATTTTATTAAAACTAACTAGTTCCAGAAAATGTTAATGAAATATATTTATAAATTTGTTTTTAATTTTAGCATAGAGTGTTATAAATATTTTTATATATTTATTAAGTAACTTATAAATATATTATTATTATTCTAAATAAACATTTCATATTGCATATATGAATTGTTCTCCATGTATTCAGATCTATATGCATTTTATTAGTAATCCCATGAATCTTTATCAGAGTCGAACGTCTTTTCGTTTTCAACATAGTTTAATGCAGCTGTTAGCACTGCATAAAGGCGTTCACATTGGCCCGTCATTTTATTGCGCGTACATTCTGGTCGAAATGTGCCCAGAGAAATTTCTTTGCACTCGAACTCGATCTCATGTTTGCTTTTAACAAATATTTCGTTGCACATTTTGCAATCGGCTTCCTTTTCTATGTGCTTCAATAGCAAGCAACAGAGTGTGGATTCAACTAGACGCTCAATTAGGGCTTTTTTCGATTTCTCTTCAATGCACGATATAAGCTGATCAGTATCTATATATATATAGTTTTCACTGTTCGACGTCTGAATACGAGATGCCCAAGCGAGAAGCACAAACAAGCCGAGCAAAGCCCGCATCTTGAAACTCACAAATCAACTGATTCCAGAAACATTTTACAATTATTTATATATATTTGTTTTGCATAATTTTATTCGCTTCTCTCTCATTTGAAAGTAATTAAGAGAGAGCTGAGTCACTTTTCTTAATGTTAACTCTTTAGATTGTGTGTCACAAAACTCACTCATAGTTAAAAGTTCTTTATTTCTTATAAATTACTTTGAATTTACAGTGGAGCAAAAGTTGTATTATAACAAAAATCTAATTGAATTTGTAATTTAAGGCGGATATATATATGAATATATATATATATATATTTGTCACATTATACATTTGCCATTATCGAGACGAAAAAGAAAGAAAAATTGTCACTTGTTTTGCCGCAGGAGAGAATCAGCCGAGGGTGGGCAACTGTAATTGATAAGTTCACAATTTTCAATTGGGTCTCCAGTTGGGTGGCCATAGTAACGTCAGTCATATATGGTATTTGGGGCGGAGCAGGTTTTAAATTCGAGAAACCAAAGTACTAAAAAGCCAATGAACCGAAATGTAAAAGTATCTTGACATTGTTACATAAGCACAGTTTCACAGTATCAACACCCACCCCAATGGCGGGTCATTGGCTAAAAAGGTTAGCAAGTGCCACTTGTGGGGCTGCCCAGTGTCCAACTGAGGGTTGCACAATAGAAATTCGAAATAAATTCCAAATAAATCCATAAAGTATCATATGAAAATTGGAATTTGTTAGGCAATTTCAAATAGCACTTCCAGATTAAAGTGAAAATAAAAAAGAATTTTTGATTTTATAACTTCAACTGCTTAGAAAATATATAAAAAATCATAGATAATATTTTCTATTGCAAGCAATTGGCTAAAATTGATAACAAAGTTGAAGTTCAAACTTGTAGAGTTAACAAATGTGGCTTATAAATGTTCTTAAACCATTCATATTTACAAAGGTAGAGTACGTTGTTCCTCACTCAAGCAACACCAAAGATACTGAGCTTAGGCAAAGAGGACTCAGCGTGCATAGCTACTGAAGTGCAAAGTGATATTATATCTGTGTGCCCACTTTTTAAGCTCATTTGGTTTTATTTAAGTCAAGCAGCGAATGACTTTTCATTTTCCCTTTCCTAGTTTTTTTTTTTTAATACTGCCAAAATGTTGTGTTGCGTTCTAATTACAGTTGGGGGGCTCGTAAAAATAGCTGGGCTGGCTGTGTGCCTAGGTGGCTCGTTGCCTCGCTGCCTATCTGTTCATTCGATTACATTTTTCCGCCACTTAACGGTAAAATTATGCAAATCAGCCGAGACACGCGAGTGCCCCTACCAAAAACATGGCATTTGCTTTGAAATTAGTTTGGAAAGAAACAAAAAAAAAAGCGAAAGAAAGAAACGCCGTGTGTGTGCACCTGTCGGCCTACAAAACAAAGAGAGAATGACAAAAAATAAGAACGAAAATAAAAATGTATAAAATACAAGTAAGAACATTGCAATCGACTGCATAATACTCGTGCAAGCTGCAAAATGTATAAACAAATGTACGACTAAATTGGAACAGATAAATTGTAGATCTGTAGATCTCCCTTAGCTCATTAAAAAAGTTGAAGATATAGTTGCTTACAATTTGTCTTATCAGACTAGAGTATGCATGACTACTATATATGACTACTATATACATCATATTAAATATCTCTAGCCAGTTCAGCTAATATGCTCGTTCAACTTGATGAACGTGCATACAAATATAATGGAAATAAAGTAAAGAAATACACACCCCGAGCAAAGTCATTGTAGGTGTTGCCATAGCATTTGCCAGGGGTTGCTTACTCTGCACCCACTCTCACACACACACATGCGTTTTGTATCTGTAAATGTATCTGACAGATACATTGCTAGGCGCAGACAGTTACACATGTATTGCAAGTCATTGGGGCATTTATGGCTAGTTAGCCCAGAGCCAGGAGCCCACAATCGAGTCTCAAATATTGCATGCGCACAATTTTTGGCATTCATTTCGGTTCTATTGGTATAATATTTGTCGGTCCCAAATGAAAAGCATTCGTTGTCAATCAAACTGCAAAGCAAAGAACATGCCACACATGCCACACCATCAGGAACATGTCTGCAAAATCTGCTGATGAAAACTTTTTCGAACAAAAAAATAAAAAAGAAAAAGATAAAACACACACCAATAGAAAAATAAATCAAAAATTCTGTTTGACTTTTAAAACAGTTGAATTCCGTCTAGTAAAATATGTAAAATGATTGAAAATATAGAAATAATAATTAAATGGAGAATGGATAAATTGAAAAAACACTTAAAATATCATGGAAAATGTCATAGAAATAAAAAGAAGATTTAACAATATTAAAGTACAAATTACTTAAATTATTAAAAAAAAATATATATATAAATAGTAAAAATAAAATATTAAAAAATTATAAATAAAAATATTTAAAATAAAAAAAGTATGGAACAAAAATATATTAAAAACAAAAAAATTAAAAAAAAAAAAAATTAAAAAAAAAAAATTAAAAAAAAAAAAAAAATAAATAAATCAAGCAAAAACTATACAAATATAAAAAAATAACAAAAATATTTAGAATTTAAAAATATTAAAAAAATACAAATAAAATTATAACAAATTATTTGACAATGAATAATTTGTATTAATAACGCAATTATTTCTAGGATAATTCGTAGAGCTATCACAGAGCAATTTCATTGATATAAATACATATTACTGTTAGTCATCAAAGCCCACAAGAAGTTGTTATAAATCTATCAATTAATTTTCTCTAACCTTCGATCAATTTGATCTCTTTTAGAATAATATGAAATTACCTTTGTACAGATCTCATAATAGATACGCGTCATCCGGTTTTGTTTTGACTAGTGAAGCCTACAATTTGGGCCATCAATTAGTGGCGTAAGGCCAGTGTATCTCATTTAGACAAACAGTGCAAAGACCCTCAGATAGGGTACCCAATGAAAAAGGGGGGCAACGGAAATTATTCATGACTGACCATGATAACAAAGGCAAGCCAAAGCCAAAGGCATAGGCACACAGAATGCAAAGCGTAGCCAAAGAAGATAAATGACCAACAATTAGTCACACCTACGATGACAATCATCGAGAGATTTACAAAATGAAAGGCTATTGAAGCAGGGAGACGGTAGATGGGAGATGGGAGATGGAAATGGAAGCAAACCCTGAGGTTGAGGCTGAACTTCAGACCGATTTCAATTTCGATTCCGAGTCCGATTTCGACTTTGATTCTCATTCGGATTCAGATTCTGGACAATGGACAAACTAATGAACATTTTTTGGTCAATAGTGTGGGCGTGGCTCAAAGCTATTTGCAGCGCTTAATTGCACACGAGAAAGGGTGTGTGTGCCTCTCTCTCTCTCTGACTCTATCGCTTCTTCCCATTCTCTGGTGTTGATTGACACATGTGGCGCTTTGTTCTATCTGCGTGTGTGTGTGTGAGTGTGTGTATATTTTGATTAGCGGCATGCCATGTCAAACAACAATTTGTAAGAGCGACTGACATTTGAATGATGACATTGGCAGAGTGCGGCACAGGTGGCGCTTCCGCCTGACACTTGCTTTCGGCATAGCCGGAAAAGGAGCGGGGCGAGCCGAAAAACTCTGGGCTAGAGGAAATTGTTGGGTTCATAATGTCTCTATTATGACGTGCCAAACAAGCGACAAATTGCATGTGTCTGCCTGTCTAGACCTCAGCGCAAGGCGTGGCTGACAACATTAAGATTGAAGAACAAAAGAAATATAATAAAGGGAAAACAATTATAATGATAGAACAAGTGTATGGTAAATAAAGATAAAGAAAAGACAAATAGCAATATTAGCAGTCGACTGCCTGATATGCGTTCAGGGTGGATCTATAGCTAAAATAAAGATATATCTCTAGACTCTAGGGCTCATTGCTGATTCTCCTGCAGAGCTCTGCGAGCCTAGTTGTAAGTCTAGATGTAGTTTTAAGCAATATGCCACGCCTCTGATATGCCTTAAATATAATTATAGAATAAATCTCTCTTAAATATAATATACTCATCTATTCTATACATAGTTTTCGCTCCATTTAACTGAAGTTGATTAAAATATATCTCATTCTCTTCCATTTTCAGAGCAATTATCGAAATCGACAAAATGTTTGCCTGCTTGCATTTGATCTACGTGGCGTTCTACGTCATTGGCTCTTTAATAGGTAAGTGAAATAGTATTGATAGAGTATCTCGTTAGTCGAGCATACCTCACTCTCTGTCGTTCGGCTGCTGCTGCTCAATTATGCAACGGTCAGCTCCATTTGTCAGTGACGACGGCAACGTCATCATTCAATATGAAATTTCACACTTTGGTTGACATTTCAAATGGTCAGCCAAACGGGGGGCGGCGGCAGCGGCGAAGGGGGCGTGTTCTATGGGTGTTATGGCTATTCGCAATTCGCTGACCCAAGCCGCACAGCGCGGCGCTGCTTGCCTCATAAATTAATTTACACTTGAAACTCTGCGCCGCAGTGCAACCAAACAAACAACAACAGCAGCAACAACAACAACAACAACAACAACAAAATGCAACATGCAACACAATGCTTAAACGCTTAAAATGCAACTGAATCTGTTTGCCACCCATGGCGCATGGCATTGCAAAAGTCAGCAGCCGTTTGGGCCAAGTGCACTTTGTTATAGCCACATTAAATAAATATGTGGAGTGGCAGAGTTGAGAGAGCAGCAAATGCTGCGAGCCGAAAAGCGAAACGAAATGTGACTCGAAGGAGAGCAATTGTAGTTAGTACTTGGCTAATTATATACAGCTATATAGTAAGTATCATAGCTGTTAAAGTAGCTGCACAGTGGTTGAGAAACTAATGAAAATGTGACTCAGCGGAAAGATTATTTTGTAGTCTACAGAAAAGTGTTTAAATGGGCTAAATAGGCTACTTAAAGTGTCACACAGTGGATATAAAAAGTATTGCAACTAGGGTAGTGCACAGTGGTTAACAAGCGAATAAGGCGATAAAACGGAATTTTCGAAAAGATTTTAAAGCTTATCTATAGAAAGTTTAAATTTGAGCTGCCTAAATGATGGCACAGTGGTTAAAAAGTGTATGGAAATGTAACACAAACTATAAAATTGTAGTTGAAAATAAATTTTTAATTAGAGCTTATTTAATTTAGTGAAGTTATATATGTCATTAAAATATCTGATCTAAATAAGGCAATGCACAGTGGTTGAAAAGTGCTTGAGTGAATGAGATTAAAGAAAGTAAAAAAAAAAGTAATAATAAAAAAATAATAATAAAAAAAAATAATAAAAAAAAATAATAAAAAAATAATAATAATAAAAAAATAATAATAATAAAAAAATAATGATAAAAAAATAATAATAATAAAAAGATAATATTAATAAAAAAAAAATAATAAAAAAAAAATAATAAAAAAAAAAAAATAAAAAAATAATAATAAAATAATAATAAAAAAAAAATAATAATAAAAAAATAATAATAATAAAAAAATAATAATAAAAAGTTGCTATTTTATATCAATATGTGAAGTATATGAAGTCTACGCTAATTATAAGACTGCACAGTGGTTTAAAAATGTACTAAAATAACATGTTCATAACTTTTTAGCAACAATCTTAGCTTCAGGTAAATTTGTAGCATGCACCTCAAAGGAGCCACGTCAGCTCAAGAATCGGCTCTCAGTTAGTTAATACTTATTTCCTCACACTTCATGTCATTTACTGAAGTCACCCTGATGCCTACAACATTTAGCTAAGCATCAAAGCGAAACTCATTCAATCACATAAATCATACGAGTCTTTAAATGTTCGATCCATGTAAATCAAGCGCTTTATTAGTTGCGTGCTCCCAAGTGAGCGTCTGCTCGTTGCTCGCTGCTCGCATGCCTTGCCACGCACCAATAAACAGTGAAAATTTGCAACATTTTCCGATTTTCCGCCACGAGAGTTGGGCTGCTTATGAAAGCCAGTGTTAACTATGCCATGAGTGGGCAACCAATGCGGGGTTAAGCCTCAATGGCTGCTGTGTGGCAAGACACACACGACGCAGCTAAAGGCCTCCAGGGTGCACCGTCATCATCATCGCGATGCTCATTATGACGTTGTCTGCTTAATTGAAATTGACGCTTACTGCTTTTGCTTTCTTCGCGCCTGAATTTGTTTATGAACAATTTGTAGTGGCGCAAAGGCAAAAGCAAACAAAGAAATACAAAATACCAAAATACGAAATATGAGCAAATTGCTCTCCCCAACATCATTTTGTCGACCCTCTCACTCTGCCTTTGTCTCCGTCTCTCTCTCTCCCGTCGCTCATCCTGTTCTCTTTCTGGCTGTCGTAATAATTTCTGCTGCAATTGAAATAAATTAAATTGCATGCGGAGCCATTTTCAGTGAACGGCGCCGACGCCAGCTATGCAGTTATATATGTATATGCACGCGCTTTTATCAACCCACCTCCCGCCCCTCGCTCTCTTTCTCTGTCTCTGTCTCTGTCTATATGCATCTCTGTTGCTCCCCTGAACCATTTGGTGACAATTTTGGCCCTGCAGTTGGATAACCGCAAACTGCGCTACGCTGCGTTCAACATACGCCAAACGCCAGTCATCATCCTGATGTGCACATGTCACTGCGGCATTTGTTTAATTAACAAAAACTCTGCCCCACTGTAGTGTTTGTGGATTGTGGGTAGTAAGTGGTGCTGGTGCTGCCGCTGCTGTCGCAGCTTTCGCTCTTGGCTCGCTCTAGCCATATTGTCAGTCATCGTTTGTCTTTGTAATTTGTGCGTTGATGAGTTATACTTTTGTTTGGCCTGCCCCTTGCCTGATTAATGGCATGTGGATCATATGCAGTGCATGCGGGTGCGTTTGTTATATCTATTACGACAGCTAAGAAAAGTGTGAGTCGTTTTTTTAAATAGGACAGACATGAAGTGTGGAATGTAGGTGGAACAGATGTGGGCTACGAGTGAACTGAGTGAAGAAGAAATTTACATGGGCTATAATTTGTATGTGTGTGGATTTTATGTGGATACTCACGCTAAGAAAAATTGGTATAGTCGAAATTGGTTGTTTGTGGAACGTAGGTGGATTCGGTCTTAATGAGGCGCATAAGGTGTATTTTTTATTTATTTTTTATTTTATTTATTTTTTTTTATTTTATTTTTTTTATTTTATTTTTTATATATTTTATTTTTTATATATTTTATTTTTTATATATTTTATTTTTTATATATTTTATTTTTTATTTTTTATTTTATTTATTTTTTATTTTTATTTTATTTATTTTATTTTTTATTTTATATATTTTATTTTTTATTTTATTTATTTTATTTTTTATTTTATTTCTTAATATAGTTCAGAATATATTATAATATATATAAATTAAACTATACTTGATAGATTTATTTTTGTGGAACGCATGTGGATATTATGTGGATACTAAGTTTAGTGACTTAGTATTGTGCTTGTCGCATATGATCACAATTGAGTTACACATCTATTATAATTGATGTGGAACGTATTGGGAATATGTGAATATGCCTTGTGGATCTTATGATTTTCTTAGAAGCCAGTAAAGTAACGTTTTAGTTTCTCTTCAACTGAGGATATGCAAGTAAATTTCTTCTTGAAAACTGTTATATTAAACTGTTACAATTTCTTACTTAAGAGGAGGATCATATCTGGGTCATTGTCAAACTGTTGGCAATTGTCTGATATACGAGCTTGGCTTGACTTAAATGTATTTAGTATTTATTCAATGTGAAATCCAAATTGAAAATTTGCTAATCAAAACTTTGATATGCCGGAAAATTTCGGCATTCTCTAGTTGTGAAAGCGATTGGCCAGCCTGTGGTACTTGTTGCTGCTGCTGCTGCTGATATGCAAATTTGTTTGTCAACTGTCGTAGAGTATTTGATATTCAAAATAAGTAAAATATGATTTGCCGCTACCAATTGCTGAGCAAAGCAAATCAACGAAGCGTTAACAGCCGCAAAGTCGCCGCAAAACTTTCTCAATAAAATGCTCAAACACACAAGCAACAACAACAACGACAACTGGAGTAAAATGAAAATGAATAACAAGAACCGCAGTTGAACTGTGGAAAAAACTGTTGCTGACATTTTTCGAAGAAGAACGACAGAGCGAAAGAAACATTAATCATTTAATTTGATAAGCAATAAACGAAGTTCTGATAATCTTTTTACGTGCACAGAGCTCAAAATTGTTTGAAATGGGGGCAGCCGCAAGTCAGAACTAATGGATGATGCCGTAGCGAAGTATTGACTTTGAGATAGAGAGTGAGCGAAAGGGGAAATAATGATGGATAATGGGGAGGGGGTGAGGGCGAGGGAAACTCCGTCTTCGTTTTTCCTTTCCCTTTTGCAGAACGACATGGAATTTAGCTTTGGCTTTGACGCATTGCATGCAATTTCAATTGATTATGCTACGCTTGAAAGGGTTTCACAGCAGGACAGCGGACAGGACCCTGCACTGGAAAGATGAAAGACAGCTCTAAGGAAAAACTACTTTGGCTTTCACTTGCAGCCGATGGCAGGGGTCCACGAGGGCTTGGCCAAACTTGTCGCATGAAAATGCAATTCAATTGATTTATGTGCTCAATGCAATTACCCGAAAAGCAAAAAGGGTGGCCAAGCCGAGGGCCAAAGCCGTTCGACTGGTGGGGCATGCGTGTTTGCTGCCAATAAAAATCAAGCTGGCTTGCATTTGACAGCCGCATAAATTGCTGCGCGCGCCCCACCGACACCTTGTCAGTAGGTGCGAAAATGGCTGCCAAGCCAAAATACCCATAAAAGACGGCCAAGAAGATGAGGCGGCAGGAGACGGAGTCGGAGATGAAGCTGGAAATGGAAAACGTAGATAGCAGATAGAAAGGCCAGGACAGAGGAAGAGCGTGAACGAGGCAGAGCGAAAGAGAGACAGACGGAGTGAGAAAGTGAGAGATAGAGAGAGGGTCAAATAAAAGCCAACAAAAGTCAAAGGGGCGTCTTTCAAGGGGCGTCACTGCGGCCAATTAAATTTATTGCTCCGCTCTGGGTGCCTGCAAAATTGTTTTTAATTGTCCCGGCAATTAAAAACACGCCCAACAGCAGCAGCAGCAGCAGCTCTGCCTTTGACTCGGCCGTGCGCCCAGATAAACAAAATTAAAGTGCGAAAAACTTTCTTT